CTTTCCCTCATATAAGTTCATCTTTATTCTTCCTTAAACTGAAGGAATCATCTCTTGATCATGGCATTTTCTCCTATTATAACTTCCTCATTTTCCTTTTAAAATTTCAAGTGCATGTAAATACATTGCACAAATATCTTCAAGCTCTTTTGATTTCTGTGCCTGCTTTGCTCCACTGTAAATGTGCTTAATAAAGTCACTAGTAGCCACTTCCTACTTAGCAAAAACTAAACACCTCTCTCCTGTTTCCTTTGATCTCCGTGATGCTTTATTGCATTTTCTCATTCATGGATCTCTTAATTATCAAGGCCTGAAGTAGTTCAGAATTTAAGTGAACCTTCAGAAGCCTACGTATTACCAAGCTGGAGGGCTGTAATTCTCCATCCGTCTCCTATTCAACAGCTAGTGCCACCAGCTGATACCTGCTAGTCACAAATGTTTTAAAAAGGCGTTTCAAAACAGAAGAGCAGCAATTTCATTGGCACTTTTAAGGGACTCCTTGCCTTTCGAGAATTAAGGGTAAGATGTCCCCTGTTCGCTGTCCTCGGTCCATGCAGAGGGGTTCAACGTTCTTTTTCTTCTCCGATGGAAGTCATTGCCTTCTAAAAGCTGTATTACCAATCTAAGCAGGAGGAAGGAATAAATAACGCAAATGAGTGTGTAGTATATAGAAATGAAAAGTATGAGAGAATTTTAAAAAAGAGGTAAAGAGACCAATAAGTAAGGGGAAATTATTTTCGTGTTTGGCAAATGTGTGTAAATCACTGAGCTCACTGACTACCAGAGTTGGGGGAGAAATTAGAGGGACGCCAAGAGTATTGCAAAAGAGCTAGATAATTTTCACATAAATAGATACCAGTAAACACATAGCCCAGGCATATTCTCTGTCCATAATAAAGGTGGAGTGCTTGAAGATCAACAAGATTATCAAAAATCAGCAAATAACCAGGACTGAATGGTATGCAGATTATAGTTCTTGAAGTGTTTAACTGACCTGCTGATGAAAAATAATCAACCTCCTGTTCAGATCAGCAGCTGCAGTAAAAATGGCATAAAATGTACCTGGGTTTCAAAATAACACTATATGCTGATATTTTTATATATATGCTTTTTTAAGATCAAAATCGATTTATTAATAATATAAATTAATTGTGACAACTCTGGTAAATGACTTGAAACCACTCTGGACAGCTTTATAAATGAACTCCATTACATAATTGTGTTAAAAAATGAGTTGGGATTCATAACGAACAGGACACAAAACAATGCAGAAAGTACCGTCATGTTTTCATATATTCAACACTAGGGCCTCACCAAATCAGCTGTTTCACTACAGTTGCTTGTACGCAAGAGCAAACTGGGGAAAAAGGTATGGTGTTATGTAACACAGATAGGAATACAGTGGGACATGGTAAGTAGCGCAGAAAATAATTATAGTCTTTCTTACTTTTCCTAATGTTAAAAAATGAAAGAAAAAAAGAAAAAAGTATAAATGATGGCAAGAAATAGGTTTACATATACCAAAGTTGATTTGTAGTACTTACTGACTTGAGATAAATCTGACAACAAAAGCTTCCCACATAGCATTATAAAAGGATTTGATGCTTATACAAATAACAGGAATACCTATATTTAGGTTAGGCTGAAAACTAAGTAAATTAGAAATTGAAATCCTTGTGTTTCAGATCGTAGGGCAACTATGAGAATAGGAAGGATAACTCTAAGGATAGGAAGGATAATATTCTAATGACAAGTTGTGCTCTTTGGATGGATGAGAGTTTCGGTTCAGTATGCCAGTTTCTCTGTTCCGAGCTACATGCACTATGGTGTACAGATAAAGTCCCTTAGCTTAGCCTTACTTCAGAAAATCGGGGATGTTCTGTGCCCCACTGAATATAACTTTCACCCTTTGCGTCCCTGCATCTCCATTATGCGACCAGCAAGTGAGCACAGAGCGTACTCACCTGGGCTCCACGCCTCCCTTAGGAGGTGCTGCAGTGTACAGTCAGTTTGCTTGCTGAGGTCAGTTGCTGTAGGGAAGTTG